CCTCCTCCTCCTCCTCCTCCTCCTCTTCCTCCTCCTCCTCCTCCTTCTTTCTTTTTGTGAACGCCTTCGTTCAAAGAATGTGTTTGGATGGTTTGGCTAACACATGCTGATTTTAGAGTCATGTGTGATGAGCAGGGAATGAACAATTTTTAGTATGGAGCCCAGGGAGCATCAGGGCTGAGCTGTCTGATTTCCATGCACTCAGGACTAATTCAGGAGTAGACGCCCCTGACCCACAGCCTGTGAGAGGGGGCTGGGGAGGATCTGGTGCACCTTAGGGGTTCACCTGAATGATGTGAGCTCCTGGGGTCTCCCGCAATGTCTGCTAACAGTACCATGCATGTAGCATCCACAGTGGAGGTCTGACCCTTGGCTTTGCTCATTAGGCTGAGTGACTCTGGACATAGCGCCAGCCTCAATATTCCCTTTGTCACATGAGATCTAATGACAGCATGGGGAATGACTGAGTGTGAGGAATGCCCGGGCACTCCGCTGAGGGTACCTGCTAGTGACTCCCTTACCTTCTTGCCCCCTTCTTCACAGCCTCATTAGATAGGACAAAGGAGCTTCTAATCAATCCCTTCAGGGTCATTGTCACTGTTCAGGCAATGCCTGCACCATCTGGTATAGTGCAGTGAGCCACGCATAGCCACTAGACACTTCAGAAGTACAAGTCTCCAGTAAACGGAGATTCCTATGACTCCGAGCTCTGATCTCCACTCTCCCCTCTTCCCTACACCCCTTTGTCCGCCCTCAGCCTAGTGCTGCCTCTGCTCATCCTTCAGAGCATGTGGGACACCCACCCCTGCTGGCAACACCAGAGGTCACATGTGTACAACGTCTGGCCCACGGTCAGCACAAACAAGACACTCACTATAATGCTGTTCCTTAACAACGAAGGAAACTTCAGTTCAAAGTGGCAAGACCACTTGTCCAAGGTCACACAGCCAGAAAGGGAAGCTTGCCAAAGCTGTTTTTGGCTTTTGTCATAGCTGGGGCACATCCTGCCATCTTGCCTTGCCTAGAACATGAAATTTAGATGCAAGACATTCCCAGCCAATGAGGTAAGAGCGCTGACTCCATCTACTGGGTACATGCAGATGTGGTGGCTTTTTTTTCCCCCATAAAAGACAAGACACCGAAGCAGGGAGCAGGACATCTCTTGACTTCTGGGAAAGCTGGATGAATGACTTTGTTTTGCCACCACTTCTGAGTCCAGGGTCTGCATGGCTGTTCTGGGTCACCTTGATGTTGCTGACACTCTCTGGGCCTTGACTGTTGAGGATTTGAGCCAGGGACTTCCTCTCAGTGGGCTCTGTGCCAGGGCCTCAGGGCTGCTGAGCTTCATGTCTGTCTTCTAACCCACCCCGGGACAGTAACAGCGCCACACCTGATGATCACACTGAAAGATATCTGTGGACACTGTGCTGAGATGTGCCCAAGCCAAGCCTCATGTCAGTATCCTCAAACCTTCACACAGCCTTGGCCAGCTCGTCAGCAGAGGGTACTTGGGAATCAAGTCCATAGTATTTTATAAAACAGACAGGTAACCTGGTCTGGCTCCTCAGAAAGCTTGCATGCTGACAGCTTGCCAAAGCCAAGCCCGAGGAGCTGGCAAGGAGCAGGTGTGTCAGACCTGTGTGCCAGGCTCAGGGAAGGTCAAGGCAGTTGCCAGACGATGGGGATGCTATGGAGCAGCTGGCCTTGGCAGAAAGCCTGCCCCAGCTTTCCATGGACATGCTGGCTAACTCATTCCCATCCTCCTTGCCCTGCACCAGC